GCTCTTCCGATCTCCCCAAAACCCCAAAACCCCAAGAATGAGGTAAAAAGTGAATAGTTTTTTGAAGAATTCGAATTTATAATTCTGTGTAATAATTACTTATTAATTTCGTACTCATTAAATTTATTCGGTACTTAAGCTTAAAATCTAACAAATTATATAATTTCATCATCAATGATTAAAAGTTAACTGAGAGTAAATACTAAAATGATCACGAGCAACAACAATAACACAATAATCTAAACAAAAAATATGTTGGACCTGAACACATCTGACCTTGAAATTATTCAAACACCACTCACTGCAGGAACCTTAGAATCAGGCGAACAGCTTTCTCAAGCAAGGCATTTAGGAATGAAGAAAATCAATGATGCATAAATTATGGGTGTTTCAGATGGAATTCTAAATCTCCAACAATAAAAACACACCTATAGCGTCTCCTAAGTAAACCTCGACTATTCTCCCATCATCAAGTAGATAACAGCTCCTTAATCTCTAGATAACTCATTCAATGAAAACAATATAGTTATTTAGAGAAAGATGACAATTTCTATTCCAGGGAATTGTAAAAGAGAGTAGTTCAGAAATAAACTAAAAAGTATAATTTCACTACTTTAATTATTTAGGTAGCCTAACTCTAAAGAAAATTTGCGAGGGCTAATCTGACTCTGCAGCTTTCTAGTCTGATTCTTGCAATAGTGGACTAACCATGCAATCTAGAAAGGTTATGAAACTCACTGAAACCAATGCTGAGGAATTTAAGAGACAGGAGAGTCTATATCTAAGTCCATTTCATTTGATATTCGAAGAACTTGAAGTTCTAGGAGAGGTAACTATTGAAAATATTTTTATAATTGCCAAATTAATAATATTTAATAGGGATTGGCTGCTTCTGTTTTAAAGTGCGTAGACAAAAAAACTAGATTGATTAAAGCTGTAAAGAAATTCAGAACTGATGATGAGGAGAAATTACAAGCAGCCTAAAATGAATTCAAGCTCTTAAAGAATTTGAAACATCCAAACATTGTATAAGTCGAGGAGATTTTCTTTGACAAATCAAGAAGTACGACATTTACTGTTATGGAATATATTGACTGCTAGTCACTTTAAGACTATGTAATGGAAAGAGGACCCCTCAAAGGTAAGTCTTAAAACAAAATCTTATGATTGAAAAATAGAATCCGATGCAAAAGAGATAATGAAGTAACTAGTTTCTGGTGTATAGTATTTACATTAGAAAAACATCTGCCACAGGGACATTAAACCTGATAATATTCTAGTAAAGAAAATTGAAAACAGCAAAACTTGGTTAGTTAAGATAGTAGATTTTAATGTAGCTAAGGAGAATGTAAATTCCATGATGACTTGTACTGGTCTCCCTGAATGGAGTGCTCCAGAGATGCTAAAAAGAGAAAAGTACACCAATAGAGTAGATTTATGGTCTTTGGGTTGTGTACTATTCTACATTTTATTTGGTCAGAAACCATTCGAAAGTTAAAACCATGCTAAACTTCATTAATTGATCATAAAATCTTAGTACAAATTGCCAGATATTCACTATGCAAGCAAGAGAGCAATCAAACTCATCAAAAGGCTCATTTGTGTTAATCCTGATCAAAGATTAAGTGCTGATGATACTCTGGGCGATAAATGGTTCATTGGTAAAAAGGAATAAAGATAAATTGCTTAAATGATGAATTTTCCAAAGAGCGAACAGAAAAAATCAAAGAAACAGAAGAGATTAGAAACAAGCAGCTTGTCTCTAGGCCCCGATAAGTAAGAAATCAATAGTCCACTTCTGAAAATGCCATACGTGCTATAAATAGTCAAATAGAGATCCAAACGAGACAAAGCTAAAGAGAGAAACAGTGGTGACTTAGATTCCATAAATGTTTCCGACAAAAATTCTTCCTAAAAGATTTCATCATTTAAAATGTAGAACAATGAAGTTTTCCTGAATTTAAGACCTCTTTTGATTTAGTCGAGTTCTTATAAGGATAATGGTCATCAAATTACAAGAAGAATATCGGACGAAAGTCCACTTCCCAATACTCAAGACTAAGAGACTAAATAGTCTATATCTCTAAAATAAATCACCATCGCGAATGAAGCGGATATGGATGATGACTTCTTTAGAATTAAGCAAGAGTTAGCATTAGAAAAATTATAAGTGCTCACATTACAATAATTCAATATAAGTAAAGAATGATTGTGTATATATAGAGAATGACAAGTAGACTATAATAAATTTCATTTTTAAATAGAGTAACTGGTGTTTGAGTATATTTGTAAATTAATATTTTAGCAATATTAGACAGTATTTATCAAAAATTATTCTGATTAATTTACCTTTTTAACATAATTCTCAGATTTCAATAGAAAATATAATTCCGGGGTTTTGGGGTTTTGGGGTTTTGGGG